AATGTTGCATATCAGCTCTTATATGTCGCATATCAGTTTTTGGGTATTTCATATCAGTTCTTATATCGCATATCAGTTTTTGGATATTTCATATCAGTTGGCATATGTTGCATATCAGTTCTTATATGTCGCATATTAGTTTTTGGGTATTTCATATCAGTTCTTATATCGCATATCAGTTTTTGGATATTTCATATCAGTTTCATATGTCGCATATCAGTTTTGAGATATTTCATATCAGTTCTTATATAGATTCATATACTTTTTTTCAGTAGGGGGACGACCGCTTTCTTCATTGAATCACCTGATGGAAGCTGGGGCAACAAAAACCTGTACTCACTTGAGCCGGGAAAAACAGTATCACCGCGGCCGGCGAGGGCCGTTATCGCCGCTCCTTCGGAGCTCATGATTTCACCTCCGTGCGCTCGCGCGTTCGAAAATGGAATGACTCGGCCACCGATCCCCCCTATAGCGAAATTTAATTTCTTCGTTTTGCTGTGTTAGTAAATACCCGAATGTGGGAACAACAAGCCATAGAGTTATTACAAGAAACGTTTATTGTAAAAACTCTATACATGATGATGATGATGATGATGATGATGATGATGATGATGATGATGATGATGCGGCTATTTCCCTTTGAATCGGAAGGACTCAAGCAAGGTTCGTGCCCAAGCCTGGGAGCGTAGGTGTCTTAATGCTCCCTGATGTGGATTTTCTGCCACCAGTCCTCTAGTCTCCTCTTCGTGTCGGCAACAAGCCTTTTTGTGTCGTTGGAAACTACCTTCAGTCCCGTAGCTAGGCAGACTGCTGTGAATTGTCCGATTTCACTGTCAATGAAGCCCAAAGCTTCAGCGAGCGCTAAGGGTTTCGGAAGTCTTGGGCCATTGTCCTGTGACCGGGACGGCTCGAGTCCCACGCAGTCTAGCACGATGTGCTCCACCGTTTCATCGTTTACCCCACACACCCTACACGTTGTTGACGTAACAGTGGTGTCAAAACGACGCCTATAACACAGCGTCCGGAGTGCCCCGCCACGTGCCTCGAACAAGAAGCGGCTACCCAGGCTGTTGTCGTATACAGCCGGACTTCCGAGGCGATGGTCTTTTTGTTGGCGAGGTACACCCCCAGCATCGATTTTGTTTGGGCGTCTTGGAGTTATTCTTGGGTCTTGTAGTCTCGAACCCTCTACTTAACTTCCGACGTCCACTCCGTCTCCGTCGACGCATCAACAGGCTCCGAGAAGAAGCCGTACTTGTGTTGAAGTTGATAGAGGCGCTTCTGCCAGCGGGTCCGCAGACCAGTCAAGTTGGTGTATATAAACAGTCTCTTCGCCCAGCAGCACCAATCCATAAGCCGAAGGCACCCGTCATACGCAATCTTGCTTCACGCCTCCCGAGCCTCAAAGAGGACCAGCCCAGGTCATCCTGCACTGCCCCGTTGGCGACCGCTCCATGGCAGCCAAGTGCCTGGCGTCCAACGTCTCTCTGCCTACGCTCCATACTGGCGCGGACATCTCCTGGGACACACACGACTGCATTTGAAAATGTTCCAGGTACCATTACTGCTTTCCACAATTCCCGCGAAACGATAAACCTGTTCCAACTTCAGAAGCTTCGCTTACGGAGAATGCTGGCTCCTCGAAGGGCTGCTTGGCGGAGATGGGTGTGATGGCCTTGCAGGTAGTCTGTGTCGTTTGACATTGTGATGCCCAAATACTTGTAAGAATTGAGAATTAGTACATCGCACCCTCCGAGGCGGAGGCTATCGAGAGTTGTCTCGAGGGACAACTCTCGATACAACAAGCTGAATAAAGCGCCCCCTATGTTTCGATCTCCTGCCCAATAAGAACAAGAACAGATGATTGTTGCACGATCTACACTCTGTTCACTCTTAAGCTGAGACTTCGGCCAAAACTACAAACGCGAGCTAGCCCTCACTCCTGGCCTTGAGACTTGTATTTTTAGCGCGAGTGCTCGTTCTGCGGAAGAACGTTTCAAAGCAGCTACATTAAGCTCTCGTAGGGTGCCTTCATGTGCGCTTTGCTTAGGGTGTTGGCATCTTGCCATTTTGTCTCACACGTTTATTTTTATTTTTCGTTCGGAAGCGCGTGAAAAGAGCGTGTCCCAGGCACTCTTTTGTGGCGCTGACTGTGCAATGGCGACATTTTGTTTTCGTCGATTTCTTTGTATTTTCCCCATGAGCGCGTGCTGTCGGCACTGGGTACTACAAAGGGTGGCATCACCCTAAACAGAAGGACACAAGCTCTCGTGCTTGTGGCATCTGCTGCAGTCTCAGCTTGAGGGTGAGCAAAGTATAGACCTCACACCTCGTGCAGAGAAAGAAGAAGAGCACATGCAGTTCTTGAAGAGCAAACGGGAAAATGGAAGCAGCACCAGCTTCGGAATGCTCCCCTACTCTGACAGACCAGGTATGGCACATCTTCAAATTATAGCACTAAATTTCAAAGATTGACTTGCGTGCGTGTGTGTGTGAGTGAAAACTGGGCTAGGCGTATCCAAGAACACATATTTGCCATCTTAAAGACGTTTATCGCTTCGTACATTAAAGCGTTGGACCCAGAGAGTGTGTGTGTGTGTGGGGAGGGGGGGGGGGGCGGTGGACGAGCGTGTCAGCGCACAAAAGCTCGGAATACGTGGAGCGAAAGCTCGAGGTGCCCAACCCATGAACCCAGGGTTTAATGCCCATACCTCTGCGTTTCGATGTGGATCAGCATTTTACTGGCATGCGATTGTGTACTGTCGAGAGAGACCGGCTATAACGAAATCGACTGGAATCGGAAATCGCTTCGTAATATCTGCTACTTCGTTATATATGAACTCATACAAATAACATGAAAGAAAATAAAACGGGTTGTTATGGGCAGCTGTTTACTGAGCCGACAGAAAGCGGTCGAGGCTTCCCTGCACGCGTCCTCAGATAGATCGAAGACGCTTCTCGTCAACTGCGAGAAGCTCCGATCAAAAAAAAAAAAAAAAAGATCCTGCTACGTACGGACCGTGTGGACAGCTGTGATGGCCCCGCTGAGGACACCAGCGGTGAACGGAATTCTTTACGTTTATGCGCACTCCGTCGAGGGTGGCAAGCTTTTGATTCAAGGAAGTCGCCTTCGTTTTCCCCGCCGAAGTGCCGGCGGTGCCGGGACTCTCTATCGTTGAGTGACGATGATCCGCTGAATCGGTGCTTGAGCGAAGCAGACTTTCGCGCAAGGGCGACCTCACGGACCCGACGCCGACACGAATCACGAAGAGGCTTGCACGGGACCGAGTTCACGCTCAACCTTGTCCGTCGTCGGTACAGAGAGCCTAGATTTAAGAGATGGCACAACCGCTCTATCGCGGTCACGTGGTTTATGGGCCGCGTTTGCAAAACGAGCTGCAGCATGCAAGGAGTCAAAGCTTAAAAGCGTTCACCTTCTGCAAACGTGTCTGCCTCTCCACTCAGTTTCCTCGACACACTGACCACGCGACAATCAAATGCAGGCGTTCTTACTGCTCCCTCCTTTTATATCTTGGTTCTCTCCGTCACCTCCGCCGGTACGTTGTCGCTAGCGCTCCTAACGCCCCTATCGGCATGCCACGACGGCATCTCCGCGTGCGATGTCGTAAAGCCGCTTCCCAGATAAAGAACGTGGAGCAGATGACGTCGCAGATACTGCCGCCGGCAATCTTTCCAGCATATTTGCAGCCTGTTCTGGGTGGCTTCTTGGCCGCTGCAGCAAATTACTGCGGCCCGAAACTTCGTAAACTTTCCCAATTTTATTCTTTTTTTTTAAACTATCATAAAATTTCTCTTCGCTATATCCACGGGAGCCGCTGAAATTCCTTCGCTAAAAACTGACACAACTGCATTGAAAAACTACAAACGGGAATGGGAAATCGTAATCGCTTCGCTGTAGCCGCTATTTCGTAATAACCGACTTCGTTATAACCGGTCAAGACAGAATCACAACTTCGCAATGCACATTGAAGACCCCAGGCTAGCCACGTGGTACTGCACTGAATAAATTCCTAATCTATGAAGGAGACGTAATACGCCCGTTGGGGCTCACTAGCTTCCCGCTGTCTAAAGAAGCGCTCAACAGAATTACTCAAACCTTATTTAGCACAATCTTCGACGTTATTTGTTTTCTCGAAATTTCGTGATCTTTCTGATGGGTGGATTACAGGTCTTTGTACGGTTTATTATTTGATTCAAATAACCGAATTATTAACTGCTTTTTAATCTACCCATTTGGTAAACTATGCCATCGCCGGAGACTTGGTTCGACAACTCCTTGATAGGAAACTTGTAGAAAGGGCGCTATTGGCAAAAAGTAACGGTTACAAATAATTTTAGTACTTCTAAAACTAGTCATATTACTCTTGCGATTACCTTCTAGTGAATGTATTCAAGTCATTACAAAATAACTCAAGGAAGTAATCAATCACAAGTAATTTTATCATTTATAATGAGAGCCGTACAAGTATGAGCCGAAGACAACACGCCGTCATCGAATCAACGAGAAAGCGTTCTCAATTTGTGAAAGGTGCAGACTGCAACCAAAAACACGATTTATAATTTAGGGCGTCGCTTTATTGATGATTCGAGACAAATCAAGAAGGGCATACATGAAGTAATCGCACAATTTTGGTGGCCATTCAGATCTGTTTTCGCCGAAAACATAAAAAAAAAATGTGGTGGTGCAAGAATGCATGCTGCAGAAGGTTGGCATTCAGCAGCTAAACCACATAAAAGGCTGCTTGTGTGAGGAAGACAAGTGTAGCTTTAGACTGGTACCGACTGAGTTCTGCCATCAAGCTTAACGATCATAACGATCTTTTCAGATTCTGCCCGGGGATAATCGGCGCCGGAAGATTCTTGGCCTGGTCGCGTTTCAAGCGGCGATCTTATCTACTCTAAGTTTCACGTTGGTACTTTGGCGTTCGAGCGAAATTGGAAAGCATGAAACCAAAACCCAGGAAAGTACGCTAGAGCTGATGCAGAAGGCCATGAACAGAACGCTGGACCCGTGTCGTTTTTTCTACGAGTACGTCTGCGGGAACTGGGAACGGGCGCACCCTGGAGCAGTCGACACCTTTCAAGTGATCGAGCAGGCCGTTCTGGACACAGTAAATGAAACAATCAAAAATGCTCGTGTGAACCCTTTTCGGCGTTCCGCCACCGAACGGGTCACGGCCGCTGTCCAGAGTTGCTGGGCTGTGGCGAGCGAGAAGCAGGAAAACCTCGCCGGTCTCAGCGATTTTCTGAGAAGACACAACATTGACCTCCCGCCGACCCGGACTGAAGGACTGCCGAGCCCCATAGATGTCATGATGAAGCTGAACCTTCTGCTGAACATTCGAACTGTCCTCTTTGTTCAACCTGAACTTGACCTTCGATCACAAGACCGAATGATACTCACATTCCATCCTAACAACAACCTACTCAAAGAGTTTTTGACGGTGAGTTTGAGTCGTACATATCCTGAGGATTCTTGATGTTTGACGGTCTAGTAATGGCGTACATGTCGTTTCGATCTTGATATTCTCGGTAATACGTTAAGAAACCAGTAGAGGCTTCACCTCCAGCCATCGTCCACTGTTCGTCTCCACTGTTCCTTTCTATTTGTTTCTTTCTATTTATATAAAAAGGAATAGATAGGCCGCTTGTCTCTTCTCTCTCTACTGTTCCTTTCTAATTTTGCGCAATTTCACCCATGCTCAATCCTCTTCAACTCGCCCAACTAACCATGTTTACTCCAGCCCTCGCTTGTCACCTTCTATAAGGCTTTCGGCAAGCAGGCGCTCGACGAAGTGTTATCAAAGGCAGAAACCTCGCCCTTTATCTATTGTGTCCTTAACGTTGGTATGTCGCACTTAATGTAAACATAAAAAAATACCCTAAATAACTATGATTTTATTATCTATTCGGTATAGAAAACTTGCCTGTTGAAACGTCGTCAACCAGAGAGCAAAAAAATTATGTTTACATCTTAAAGTTGCTTAGAATTCTTGTTGGTTCTGTTCAAATTGGCTTGAGCTCGTTAGCCACCTCATACCCCTGCCAAACGATACCCTAAAGCTCCTTTCGAATAAATATTTCCACTAAAAAATATTCTGCTAAAAGAGCTGTTCTCACACGATCGGCAAAATAGTATTTACATCAATATTGATGGCTTTGTGTGAGGCCACAACGGGTTGCAACCGAAACTAAAATTATGATTCTAAATTTCATAATCATTGCAAGTTAAAGCTTGTTTTACAAACAATGTTTATTCAGAAATAATTCAGATAATAAAAACACATTCGCAAGAAGCTTTCGCCTCATAGCGAGACATTGCCAACGACGAAAGCATACTAAATCGATAATGTTATTGTCTGTTAACCGAAACCTAGAACTGACTGAGAAAAATGCGTCTTTCCATAGGTGAAACCTGAGCATCATTTACACCGGGATTTAACACTTTATACCAGGAGTACACGATAGAATAGTGAGCGCGCAAGCTACTTGGTGAATCTAAGCCTGAGAAGGAAGAAGACACAGATTGTCTCTGACTCCATGTCGAGATCATTCCTACAACGTTCTAACTTCAGGAAGACAAAAGGATGCGCAACTCGCCTCCCCTTAGCGCTAACTGTCGAGACTACTTCCTTTGCACTAAAGGATGAGTTAAAGTTGTTCCTCCCGGTGGTGTGGGAGGCAGGTTCCGCTTCGATGGTCTGGAGCGTGGTGGCACGAACGTCGCTGAGTGACGGGTCGACTCACTGCTTGAATAGAACTATGTGCATTTATTTACACTCTAGTTACAAGTCCCAACTTGGGAAACCATCCTGCCTCGTCTAAAGTCTCGACCCCCGTCCCCAATTTCTCTCCATCAAATCCAAAGTCCGAATCCCTCAAAATCCTCTCCGCGCTCCTTTTGTAGGCCCGTAGGGGCCTCCTTTCCCTTCAGGAACCGACCAATCACTTCAAATTCCGCCACTCACACGTGGTACACTGTTCTCCAATGGTCGGCGAGCTGTCATTTTAGCGTCCCAACCGCCAAACCCAAACTCCTTGTAGAGTTGTTCTCTGCAATTTTCCCAGCCTGACTGGCGCCAACCGCTAAGTTATTGCATCGGGCAAAAAGCGACAATTTTATACAAAGCGGCAAAACCCTCTGCATACACGCACATTCGGTTATAAGCCACAAGCATCTTCCAGCGCGGGCTCTTTCGGTCCCGGTCCGAGCAGACCCCCGAAACCCGAGACGCTTCTTAACGACCGGCGGGGGGACCGCTCCCGCGTCGCGGCCGCTCTGGCCCCGCCGGCCCAAACGTAGAAAGCTAAAAAAACACAATGCCGACGCAACTCTCGAAAGATAAACTTTCCTAACCAAAAGAAAACACCTTAATTAATAAGCATGACTCCTAAATACTTAACTGGATGCTAGCGAGCTTCTTTTCCGAAAGAACGCTCAAAAGAAAGAAAAAACAGTTTTTAAGCAGTTTGGTTGGGACACGCGTGTCAAAAAACTAATTTTACGCGAAAGAAAAACGTTTTTACAGCGGTATTGACGGCGCGAGACGCAATTTAGTCGGGAGTCACCTCCTTTCCACTTGTTTTCTCTCTCGGCATTTCGGGCGCGTGGAGGAGAGGTGGATCGGCCTGGCTATCACGCTGAAGCGGAGAGAGTGTATGACCATCTCGTTGAGCGAATGGCCAACCCATGACGTCATCGACTTTGCGCGCAGAATTTGAAACTTCCTTCGCCGTCAATATTGCTCTGAAAAAAGTTAATTTTTTTTCGCGTACAATTTATTTCTTGACAGGCGTGCCCCAACCAAACTGTATAAAAAAGTTTTTTTTCTTTCTTTTCCGGAATCTTTTAATGAAAGGAGAATTTGCAGTGCCGTGTGGCGAGATATCCTTCCCCTCTTAGGAAATTTTCCTTTCTACTGAAGGAGCTTAAGCGGTCCGTCTGATAGGGGTATCAGTACACTAATGTAAACGACAACGGCAAACAACATCTCTTTTTTTTTTTTTTTGTGGGTGACATTTTTATTTAACAGAATGTCGCTTAAGGGGTATTCACACGGGGGATGGTTTTCGGGGAGGGATCTGCGTGACGTCAGTGATCGCCGGAACCAGCTAGACTCCCTCCCCGACTCAGACATTTACACGAACGGGGGGGAGCCGAAAGGAATGTCAGTGTTATCAGACGCATTTAGGGGTCGCATTCTCGACAGCAGGGATCGGTGCGCACTCGCGAGAGTAGAAAAATTGTGGAGTACATAAAACGGCGATTCGCGATTATGGCAGAAATGATGTTAGATGCTGGACTCTACGAACTGCTTTCTGCTTAAAGATAGATGCTCCTTGAATGTGTGGATGCAACACCAAGGACGTGGAATCTAAAATGAGCTGTATGAGGAGCGGCTTGAGGACGACATTGATGAATATCGAGGACTCCGAGTAAAATCTGTAAAGTTGCCAGACACGCGAACAAGATACCGCCAATTGCCGAAGAGACCCCCCCCCCCCCCCCCCCCCTTCAGGCGTGGGACCTTCTTTTTGTGTAGCCCGAGCAAAAGTTCCCCTATACCCCTGCGATGACTATGTCAGCGCGTATCCGCGTTACCCTGGAATGCGGATCACGCTGTTATCACGTGATCCGCATTCCAGGGAGTAAAGGGGGGAATTTCTCTCCCTTGTGAATACCCTTTTAATAATCCGAGTTATTTTTGGCCACTCGAGATTCGCCAAATTTAAAATAAACTAAATTTATGTGGGATTGAAGCAACGTACAGTTGCGGTGTACACCTAATTATACCAAATATCAGAGTTTCGTGCCAAACACTTCAAAATTACAATAAGACAGGCTAGCAACTGTCCAGAGTTATTGGGTCGCAAAACGAATATAACCAATGGGAAGATATTAGGTAAGTAAAAGCCAGACGACGGTCTTATTTACTAATTCATACTATTCTCTCCATTCGTCCACCAGGGGTTTAAACAAGCCACTCCTGCACCTGCAGTCTATATCAACGGTCAGAGCTTTGCGAGGGACGTTGTCCAAGTACACAACCGGTTCCAGTACTGGCATTACGTGGCCCGTTCTACAAGTCCGTCTTACATGACCGTACATCAGATCGCCGACGGGACCCCATACATATCAGCAACCAACTGGACGAATGCCATCAATTCAGGGCTCTTGGAACCAATATCGACAGAGACAACGTTTTATGTCAGAAGTACACAAACGCTTCAAATTGTCAACTTACTGATGCGTGAATACCGAAGAAACCCCAGACCAGCGCTGAACTGGATAACAATGTTCGTTCACTTCTACTTCGCATCCGCCAGTTCGTATCAGCTCCAACAGACGTTTGGCAACCTATCAAGCAGATGTATGGACTACATGACGTATATAGCGCCCCACGCTTTGAACGTTCTCGTGACGGAACAGAAGGTGTCTACCGACGACGTGCAAACCGCGAAGCACATATTCCAGCACATGAAGCGAGCGTCGGGCACATTTTTCAGCTGGATGGACAACAGAACGAGGGCACTGGCACTTCGACGATTCGACAAGCTCTCGCTGACGCTCGGAGTTCCCCGAAAGTTTTACTCGCCGGCACTTCTAGAGAAAGAGTACGCCTTCCTTCCACTCTTCAGAGGTACCTTCCTGGAGGAACTGCTGAGTGCCTTCAGGGACAAAGCTAGCATCGCGATATTTGAGTACACGTACGGTCCTAAAGGTCAAACGATGGATCGAGACGTCCTCAGCTTCAGCCTAGTTCCGCCCATAACAAATGCGTACTTCTTTAGATATATCCACACCATCTACTTTCCAACGGTCATCTTGGCCAAGCCCCTTCTGGTCGTAGAATCACTGGCCGCGACCTACGGCAGCTTTGGATCCATCTTAGGCCATGAAATCGGCCATGCATTTGATCCCATCTCGCAGTCGATGGACCCTGGAGGGGGTAAGGAGGAGTGGATGAGCAGCAGATCACGAAGGGATTACCAGGCGAGGATCGACTGCGTCATCCGGCTCTACGACGCCACTGGCGTTCGGGTTGACACAAACTACAGCGTGGCGACGTTGAACGAGAACTTTGCTGACATTTTAGGACTGCAGATTGCTCTGGCAGCCCTGGAGAGTGACCCTTGCGTTCGCCTGGACGCAGAGTCCCCGGTTAAGGGATTTACGAATAGGCAGCTCTTTTACGTGAGCTTCTGCAACCAGTATTGCGCACACAGATGGTTAGCCTACAATTATTTTGATGGTCCTCACGCGGGGTACTATCACAGGTGCGTGGTGGTCCTAAAAATGTTAAACGATTTCGCAAGAACGTTTCGGTGCTCTGGAATGGCCCCTGCCCCTTGTACATTGCTGTGACTCGGAGGGGGGCACGATGACGCGTTCTTTATTTCGCGTCTCGTAAGCGGGAAACGATTTGTTGAAGTTCAGGGGTGTGACTTTTACCAAATGTAACCACTGTGTCTATTATGCTATTTCGGTGACGTTTGGTTTCGGTAAATTATATTCGGAAACAGAATTTGGTACCAGGTTTGAGAAGATTCACAAGACATGGAAAGTAAGGAAATAGGACAAGTTGATGTTTCAGTTTCGAATTAATTAAAAAAATAGTTATTCATGCAATAGTGGCGCTCTAGGTAGTGATTTCGCTATGAGTCAGGTAAATATATATATACATATTTATATAAACGAATATTTTCTTCCCTTTCTCTCCTTCCCTATAACATCGAAAGAGACAGACACGGTACAATCCACACCTATGCCATCATTAATATAATTTCTTCATCATTAACTCGTTTTATGGCCGAAAAAATGTATAACGCGCATATCTATCTCCAGATAAGAACTATATATATATTTAAAAAAAAAACTTTCAGCCTTTACATTTTGGTGATCGAAGAACTCGGCCAACTATCCATTGTTCTATGATAGATCGAAATGTTGCCGCCATGTATGAGCGACGGCGGCAACCTGACTGGTTGTCTGGTTTCCGGCGCCACTTATAGATGGCGGTAGCTGTCCAGAGTTTTGTGTAGTTTTGTGTCGACATTTCTTTGGTACCGGACACAAAACTGGGGAAACTATCCCTTAACCGCTCCGCTGTAAAAAATATAAATATTCCCCACTATTGTCGAAGAGAGGGCAGGTTTACAGGAATAGCCCCCAGTTGTGAAAAAAGAAAACAAATAGTCCCAGAACGTTAGGACATCGAGAGGTCAGTTTTCCTTAGAGCCACTATATATAAGCTACGCTTCAGACTAACGGACATTTTGGATATGAATGGATGGATGGATGACTGAACGAGTGCCAACGGCTGTACCGTTTATAACGGGCGGAAGCTTGCGGTGCCTAGCCTAGAAACTTGATTCTTAAAATCACGGCTGCCAGTTATCTGAAGCTTTACTATCTGAAGCCCCAAGGAATGCGTTTCGATCCTCAAAAAAAAAAATGATGACAGTCCGCGACTAAAGAAAATTACATCACTCGAGCTTCTCGGCACCGTGTTATAACGGTGAGATTATAGACCTTTCCAAAAAAGGTCCCCTGGCCGGTTCTCTTCTTCAGTGTTCGTGCGTATGGCGCGTGATTTGCTCGCTTTCCGAACCGACGAACACGCGCGTGCTGGGCTGAGGAGATCGCACGCTGGGCTGAGGATTCGTGAATATTGGACTGGTGTAGGATGCCTCAATAGACCGATCTCACCAAGCGTTCCACGCATGCGTGACGCCGCCATAACTGTAGTTCGTAGGAGGCAGACGCCAGTTCACGAGATAGCTCATGCCGCCTCGTGTTCTGCTCGTGCACACCTCCAACGGGCTTGTCGCGCGTGCAAAAGACTACAGCACCCACGATGCATGTCGGCAGCGGTGGCGTACTCAAACTAGCTGGTGAGATCGGTCTATTACCTCAATCTCCTGTTTAAAGTGATGCCACCCTTTGTAGCACCCGATGCCGACAGTGCGCGCTCACTGGGAAGATACAAAGAAATTGACGAAACCAAAATGTCGCCATAGCACAGTCAGCCACAAACGTGTGTAGGGACACACTCTTTCACACGCTTCTGAACAAAAAAAAAATAAATGTGTGGAACAAAATGGCCAGATGCCACCACCCTAAGCAAAGAGCATACAATTGGCACCCGAGACTGGTGGATGAAGCTCAGGAAAGAGCATGGGTAATAGACCTTATGAAAATCGAAGCGATCCTAGCAGAGTAGGGCCACGCAAAGCGTCTGGATATCCCATTGGTAACAGTTTTAGTTTCGATTTTTTAATCTCACTTCATGACATCCCGTCACGACCGAACACAGTGCTTGCATTTTCGAATATGTGACTTTCCCTAATACCGTTGGTCTTGCCTACTAAGACGGACAGAATGCTGGGGCACGTTCTTTTGGGCTCGCGACGAGCCAGAGTTTGTACATATGTTGACACAGAAATATATGATAGCAGATGGAAGAAGCAGTAGACTTGACCGACAGTGTCTCCTCAATAGAGAGTTTTAGAATAGCGTAAAAACCCTTGCGTCAGCACTGCGTGCAACGCACGCTAGCTGTCGACATAACGTTACGGAGCGCGTTGAACGCGCACTTTTAGTATAGCGAAAGGCAAACGCATACATAAAGACTTGCAGCGCCATCTAGATGTGCTCCTGCGAAGTGCTTCAAACAATCCAAGGCGGGTATTCGGTCAAGCCAATTTAACGCCGCAAATCTCCTCGCTTGTCTACGAAGTGCGTGAATCTCTTTCCAGTTGCCTGTTGTGAAAGTGTTGCCTTTTTTTTTTTCTTTTTTAGGGTTGTGCGACCAGGCCGTTCGGTCTATGGTTCGCTCCACTGTGTTGTGGGATCCCTACTATCTTATGTTGGCCTCGCCATTTGCTTGGAAGTATGCAAACAATAGGTCGCACCACTCGCTTACCGACCCCACGGTAAACACCTTTTTGGGTTCGACGGCCCCGCCAACGTTCTTGGCTATCGACACCCATCTTTGTGGGCGCTCGAAAGGGTTCGTCGTGTTGATTTCTTTGAGGAGGTTGTGGGTCACCCGTCAATACCGCTCGATCAGGCCGAGTTCCACTCGCTCCGAGGAAGTTAGACGGGGAAGCGCTACCATTGGGAAAAGGTTTTATCTGTACTTAAGTTCAGAGTCCGATGAAGAGGAGAGCCAAGGCTGCCTAGGTCTTCAGTTGCAGGCCTTGCTCGGCACCGGCTCTAAGTTCGTCTCTCTCCAGCTCCGAACTCCGCGTGTCTTCGCCCGCTACAAGCCTCGCCCTTTTTCCCTTCTTCATTCTCTTTCTTCCACAAGGTTGAGGTCATCTTCAATAGTGAAGCGAACCCGTACAACGCGCGTAGCACTTCCACTGGTTTGCCTCACCGCCGCCATTTTCTAAACTGGAGTAGTCTCGCGCTTTCCCGTGCGCGACGAGAGCAACAAGAATGGCACGCAGGGGACCGCTACGTACGCTCGCAAAAATTGATAGCGAGCGCACGTACGCATAGCTCGCTGCAGTACGTACGTATGGCTCATGCGCAGCGTGGACGACGCAGCGGTAACGCTAACATCGGGGGCTTGCGTTTGCTCTTATACCCAATACTAAAACTATCTAATGTCCTAAGATTCTTAAATGATCCGTGAGCCGGGAAGGCTATGTTGCACTTTGGGGTGGTATAGCCATGTCGCCAGAAGAGTATGGGACGCTGACGGGCCCTACTCCTACTCCCAGCTAAGTCTAGGCAGGCTTTTACCGCCGCTGAAGGCGTGTTTCAATGGGGGCTCTCACATGAACGGGCGCAATGCAAGCGAGCGTTAACTTATTTTCATGCTGGACCGAAGCCACGCCAATCATCTTCATGGCCAAAAAGGTTCCGATGGATGGATGGATGGATGGATATGGCTATACCTAGTGCAACTAAATAAGCCACGCTTCAGAGTAATGACACTTCGCCATATTGTAGCTTAAAATCATGGTTGCCAGTTATCTGAAGCTTTATCTGAAACCCCAGGAAACGCTTTTCTGCCCTCCACAAATGTTTAAACAGTTCACGACAGAGCAACGCAAAATTACATGAGCTTCCTAACACCGAATCTAATGCTGAGGAAGTCGCACTTTTGAATCATGACGACCGGCAGTTGCGTCTGCTCTGCACAAGCACCCAAATGGCGGCGCCAACAACAATGTCGGGAAACGGCGCCATCCAGCCTAAGTCTAAAAAGACAAAATGCAATCCACAATAAAACGCGCGCAGTGTTGCCCGCATGAATTTTTGGAAGTAGTTTATATAGCAAAAATATCTATTGGTGATCACTACGATTCGAAAATGTGACTTACTGAACGAATGACCATAAAAAGGTTATTCGCGCCACTGTCGCACGAATAATGTTTTTTTTTTTTTAAATAATAATGTGAGAATGGGACATCATATTCTGGGATCTGGTTTATTTCCATGGCTTGCAATTACAACACCTCCGTGGTAAAATATTTGGCTTTGCGGAACATTTTCTTCGTAAACGATACATAAGCTAAAATAATTAACTAAACGTCACACGAAGATGAGACATATAGAGGGAGTAAGTATTTCGACACAACATAAACCATTGTTATAATTTTCAGCGGCTGAAATAAAAATCTGCTCACATTTTTAGGACATTTCACTAAAGCCGTATAGGCACGCGGATAATTTCTAAAGCCCTCAGGCTTCCAACGTTCCCCAAATGGTTTCACACCAGTCACTAGCACTAGATAAACCAAACGTTAGCTAGTTCGCTGACAAGCAGGGAGCTGCAATTCATCAACAGTGATTAATCATCGTTTTGATACGCGTTTCCTCTCTTACCTGATTCCATCTTCACGTGTGACGCAGCTGGTTTACACGAGCTAACGTTGGGGCTTATCTAGGGCTAATTTTGCCCCGTGTTATGACTCCCCACAGAAACGCGATCAGTTGAGCACGTGCATGTGCGAGGAATGGCTGTGCCCCTCTGGAATTTTCAATAAACATTTGTCAGTCGGCATCTGTTCCGTGTGTTCCTTCTACTTTCGTCCCGCCTAACGTCACGCCCTTTTGCGCTTGTACTTTTTTTATAATGTCGATTTTTGTCTAGATTGAAAAAGATGGGAGTGGAGATCGAACCTATGATCCCTGGGATAGGTGACTCGAGCTTTCTCTCCACCTGCTCCGAGCTGCGGAGCACTAACACACACGGGCAGCGATCCACCCCCAACGCATTTGCGCGCAATCTATCAAACCCACTAGGCGCGAAATGCACATCGTAAGTTAAATTGAACCAGAAAGGAGCACAAACAGACCATACCAGAAAAAAATGTAAAACGGGAAGTAGGCATCCGATTAGAATGGGACTGTTATTTGAGTTTCAGGATATAAGCGCACGCGAAAGGCCAGGGGGAGGATCTCAAGGCCCACGATCCGGTAAACTCAA